ACTCAAATAAGTGGAAAACTCATGTCCACACAAAAACCTACACATGAATGTTTATAGGAGCTTGATTAATAATTGCCAAAACTTGGTAGCAACTGAGATGTCCTTCATTAGGTGAACAGATACACAAACTGCTACATCCAGACAATGGAATATTTTTTAGAGCTAAAAAGAAATGAGCTATCAAGCTACAAAAAGATGTGAAGGAAACTTAAATGAGTATTACTAAGTGAAGGAAGCCAGTGTGAAAAGACGCCAACAATATGACATTCTGGAAAATGCAGAATTATAAAGACAGTAAAAAGATCAGTGATTGCCAGGATTTGGGGGGAAGGAAGGGACAGATGAATAGATGGAGCACAGGTTTTTTAAGGCAGTAAAACTATTCTGTATGATACTGTAATGGTGGATACATAACATTATACACTTGTCAGAATTCATAGAATTGTACAACACCAAGAGTGAACCCTAATGTAAACTATGGACTTCACTTTAATAATAATAATATAATTGTAATAAAATATCAGTATTCATTCATCAACTGTAACAAATGTACCACACTAATACAGGATGTTAATAATAGGGGAAACTGCCTTCCAGGGGAGGAAGGAGGCAGAGGGGATACAAGAGCTCTCTGTAATTTCTGCCCAGGTTTTCTGTAAACCTAAAACTACTCTAAAAATAAAGTCTATTAATTAAAAAAGATTAAAGAGAGTATTCACCAGCACCTAGTACCTGGCAAAGAATTAACACTCCATAAATGTTTATTGAATAAATGGAAGAACAGATGGGCCAGTCAGTTGATGGACAGTAGAACCCTGGCCTCCTGAGTCCCAATTCAGTCCTCCTACTTAGGCAACAGAGGTAGGGTGATGATATAATTTATTGTCCAAACCAGGATATTTGAGAGTGAAATGGGGTGCCATAGATGTAAGTCAGAATTATCCCAGAGATTACAAATTGGGAGCCCATGAGCCACATCTTGCCTCCAAAACTGTTTTGTTTGGCCTCACATACTGATGTCCCATACAAAATTCTTTAAAAATTTAAATCAATTATTCACATTTAACACTGTGGAAACCCTGCATTAAAATGTGAATTTCTGACATCTCTTAGAAAGTGGAAAGATCTTGGCCCACATTCCTGCACAATCACGAATGGCTAGAGCTGAGTAGCAGCTGTCCCCTTTATGAGCATGTACCTTCCTGTTTGCCACAGACCCCACCACTCCCTTTCTTATTCTAGGCCAAGTGTGAGTTCCCATTTATCATCTCACTTACACTGTTTTGGTTTTGGTTTCTTTCATAATAGAGTTAAGAAAATGGAGGAACTATTTCTTATGTCATGATTCAAAGTAGGAAAAAGAAAAAAAGGATCAAGGGGCCTCCATGTATCTTGCCCCTAGTCTCCTTTACTCACATACAGTACATTCTTAGCCTCTAAGCTAAGCATTTACGTTTACCTCCTCTGGTCTCCCCAGGTCTCAGACATGCTGGCCTTTAGAATTTTCTCAGGCTGCCACCCACTGCTGGAAAAGTTAGATGTGAGGGGGAAACAATGGGCATTATTTAAGCTCTCATTTGTATTGTTTCCCAAACTCAATATTGCTCATCATCAACTGGAAATTATTTCTGTTGTTTTTCTTAATTGCCTCCAAATGTAAGTGGAGAGTGATACAGAGAAGCAGAGAGTACAGCACCTACCTTTCCTTTCTGTAAACGTGTTGTTAGAACACTTGGACATGGAATTTTGTTTATCCGTGCATCTACTCATTCATAAAGCTCTGGCTATACTCACAGGTGGAAAGACCCTAACTTCAGCACCAGGATCCCTTATAGGTTTTCCTCAGCAGAGGCAATAACATAAACTAAGACCCACGTGGAGATAGGAATGTATGGGTAACTCACGCTTAAGCTAATATGTTGGACTTCATTTATAAGTAGTTGGGAACTGCTAAAGTTTTGTGCAGTTTTTTGGAAGCAGGGGAAGCATGTGATCACAGCTATGAAATTGGGTGAGGAACAAGCTCCAGAGGCAGGAGCACCAGTTAAGAGGTGGTTGCAGTAACCTGAGTGATAAGAGATACAACTACAGTGGAGACAGTGGGAGAGAAAGGACAAATTTGAGAGACATCTTGAGGTTAGGCTTGGCAACTCATAAGATGTGGAGGGGTCTTGAACTAAGAGATGAAGAATCATCCAGAGACTTTGAGGTTAGGGATTTAAAACACCAAAAGCATAACCACCCAAAATTAACTTGCTTCGTAAGAGTTAAAAGAATAAAAAGACAAGTTGCATACTGAGATAAAATATTTGCAAATCATATATCAGACTTGCATCTAGAATATATAAAGAACTGTCCAAACTCAACTGTAAAAAATATATATCCAATTAGCAAAAGACCTAAACAGGATGTACAGACAGCAGCAAATCAACAAATGAAAAGATGTTCAACATCATTTGCCATTAGAAAAAGGCAGATTGCCCGGCCATTGTGGCTCAGTGGTTGAGCATCCACCTATGAACCAGGAGGTTCCATTCCTGGTCAGGGCACAGGCCCAGGTTGCGGGCTCGATCCCCAGTAGGGGGCATGCAAGAGGCAGCCAGTCAATGATTATCTCTCATCATTGATGTTTCTATTTCTCTCTCCCTCTCTCTTCCTCTCTGAAATCAATAAAAATATATTTTAAAAAAAGAAAAATTCAGATTGCAACCACAATGAGAGATCCCTACACACCTATCAGGATGGCCAAAATAAAAAGTAGTGGCACCACCAAATGCTGACAAGAATGGTGCGAAAGATCACTCATACATGGTGGGGATGTAAAATGATACAACCACTCTGGAAAAGTTTGGCAGTTTCTTATAAAACTAAACATGCAACTACCATACAACCTAGCAACTGCACTCTTGGGCATTTATACTAGAGAAATGAAAACCATGTTCATGCAAAAAAGTAAAAACACCACAAAATAAAATAAAACAAAACAAAAAACTTGCACATGAATGTTCATAGTAGATTTATGTGTGAGAGGCAAAAACTGGAAGTAACTCAGATGTCTTCCAATGGCTGAGTGGTTAAACTGTGCTGCATCCATACCATGGAATGCTACTGTGCAATAAAAAGGGAACACATTTAATGCACACAACAACTTGGATAGATTTAAGGCCAATATGCTGAGTGAAAAAGCCAATCTCAAAAAGTTGTATACTGTATAATTCCATTTATATTACATTCTCAAAATGACAAAATTATAGAGCTAGTTTGGTGAGGGGGTGGGGAGTACTGTAACAAGGTAGCATGAGAGAAATCTTTGTAGTGGTGGAATATTCTGAATCTCTTTCTGGTGGGGGTGACATGTACATGTGATAAAAACTGCATAGAACTGTATACATCTACACGCACACAAATGAGTACATGTAGAACTTGTGAAATCTGACTAAGGTCTGTTATTAGTGCCAATGTCAATTTTCTAGTTTTGATATTAAATAATTACTAGTACGTAAGATTTTGCCACTTGGAGAAATTTGTACCTCTTGGTACTTCTTTTTTGTAACTTTCTGTTAATCTATAATAATTAAAAAGGTAAGTACCCAAATAAAAAGGAGTAAACTATTGACATACCAAAATGTTTGCATGAAACTCAAAGGCATCATGCTGCATGCAAGAAGCTAGTCTTAAACGGTTACATACTGTTTGATTCCACTTATATTATATTATATTCTCCAAAAGACAGCACTTATAGGGATAGAGAATAAGTCAGTGGTTGCCAGGTAATAAGGGTTGGGGAGGATAGATTGCAATTTTGGAGGTTGCTGGAATTGTTCTGTGTCATAAATTTATACTTGTGTTAAAAATCACAGAATTGAATGCCCTGACCGGTTTGGCTCAGTGGATAGAGCATCGATCGGGCCATGGACTGAAAGGTCCTGGGTTTGATTCCAGTCGAAGGCATTTACCTTGGTTGCAGGCTCGATCCCCAGTAGGGGGCATGCAGGAGGCAGCTGATCAATGTTTCTCTCTCATGGATGTTTCTAACTCTATCCCTCTCCCTTCCTCTCTGTAAAAAATCAATAAAAATATATCTTTTTAAAAATCACAGAAATGAACATAAGAAAAAGTCAATTGTACTGTATGTTAATTTAAAATTAAAACTAGATAGGTAATGAGTGCTAATTTGTTCTTTCTTGCCTTCCTTCCTTTCATTCATTCATCCATTTATGCAGTCATTTATTGAGCACATACTTTGTGTGAGGGACTGTGCTAGACTTTGGAGATGAACCAAAAGTAGGTCCCAGTGCCTTCTTCTTGTTTTAGAGGAGAAATGGTCAGTAGTGGTTGGAGCCCAGTGTAGGGCAAGGAAAACACTGCAAAAGGACCAAGTGAGCAAACTGTACATTCCTAGAGCCCAGTCCTGTAGGATTTCAAGTGGTCACTTGTCCCTCAAAAACTCTTAGGTCTGAGGGCAGGGAAAAGCCCAAATTCATATCTCACAGATGTTCACAAGAGAAAATACTAGGAGGTTTGTGCCCTGCTAAGTGGGGAAGAAAGGTTGGGAGTGGGGGGAAATGTGATGCAGTTAGTAAAGTGTAAACTTGATGAAGTTAGTGAAGTGTTGCCTGAGTGTGTGTGTGTGTGTGTGTGTGTGTGTGTGTGTGTGTGTGTGTGTCTTAAAACAGTCACTTGTTTAGCTCATGACTCTGTAGATTGGCAATTGGGCTGGGCTCAGCTGGGTATTCTTCTACTGGTTTGGGTTGGTTGGCTGTCAAAGGCCTCACTCACTCACATGACTGATGAGTGACTGGTGGTTGCTGGGGTAAATGGGCCATATGACTCTTACCATCCAACAGGCTAACTTGGACTTGCTGGTCCATATGTTGGGGTCTCTGGGTTCCCCAAAACAACAAGTCGCAACATGCAAGTGCTTTTTAAAAACAGCTTTATTGAGGTGTAACGCACATATGTTACCGGAATTTGAATTTTGTTTTCTCTCCTGTTTGCAGGGAATCTGAAGCATGTGGTCTAGTTGACAAAAAGAGATCAGGTTTCCAGAGCCGAAGAGCAGCGCCTATAATGAAGACAGCGTGTTTATGCAAGCAGTGTGTGGAATTTGTGACTGCAGGGGAAATTTGGAAGAAATTACTTCCTGAAAATTTCCAAGGGGCACCAAGTGGCAGCTGGCCTCCTGGGGTGAGGCAGGCAGACACCCCAGAGGCTCAACTAGGCCTAGAAGAAGAGTGAGATTTCCAACATTTAAAATGTTTATTTTTTAAAAAACACAAATGCCATTTTTAATCTTTGAAAATTATTTTTAAGCAAGTTGGGAAGGGGGTATTTTTATTTTCTTAAAGGAGGCAGATAAGAAGCTGGAAGAAAGCATGGAGGTTTAGTCAGCAGTTCTTCAGTTAGGGGGTGCTGAGAGGTAGGGTTTAAGTCTCAGAACCATCCAGGTAGCGCCTTGGTGAAGGGGAATGATAGTAGATTGGGAGGTGGGAAGAAGTCTACCTCTGTTGTTTTTAGGATTATTGACCTATTTTGTTTTTAATAAAATATTTGAAAACCTACATCTTTGTCCCATTGTCCTCATTATAAAACACGCCTGACAGCACATGCAGCTCTAAACATTTTCTCTCCCTGAAGTGTCAAGAATAACCCTGCTGCTTCCATGATCTGCTCTGGTCCAGCCTAGGAAGCTGACTCTGAGTGCTGAATTCCACTAAAGAACTAGTGTATCCCCACTAAGTTCTGGGGACAGAAGACCAAGCTCTGTCCTGTGCTAGGGTCCATCTAGGGCTCATGAGAATATAAATACTGCAACTATGGAGATGGTCTTGCTGGCACCCAGGGAGGAGGAATGGGAAGGGCAGGTGACATGTCAGATCAAAGAGGGGCATTTTGATGAATAGAGAGCATAGTTCCCTGTCAAGTGTAGACAAATCAGCACACTTGATGAATATGGGTTACAGTTGTGATGTGTTGGTGTTACTGTAACCTCAGGGAGAAGGGAAGATGGCAAAATGAGGATGGGAGAGAGAAAGAGAGAGATGAGGAAGCCAAATGTCATGATTTTGTAATTTGGCTCCCCAAATATTTATGAAGCTCCTTTGACTACTTGGACTGGGATAGGAGAAAAGGGCACAGCTCCATCCTGGCCATCTAGGAACTCCAGACAAGGTGAAGGAGGAGGTAAAGAGCCAGGTCCCAATATGTTTCATACTCTGTTACCAGCCTGAACCAAGAGCTGTGGGAGCACCGAAGAGAGAGCCTCCAGAGAGGTTCAAAGGAGATGATATTTGAGCTGGGCCTTGTAGGGTGAGTTGTATTTCTCTAGGCCTCTGATGGGGTGGGGAGTTGGGAGAGGCATTCCACGGAAGGCCGTGGAAAAAGCCTTAAATGTGTCCCCACATGGGAATAGCCAAGCTTTTACTAAAGAGCAATGGGGTGCCTGATCAGCTAGGAATACCAATCACTTCAAATGCCCACTATTCTAATTACATGCTCTCGGCTTAAGGGCAGTTTGACTTATACAAAAAAAGAAGGGGGGGTTACAAAATAGAAAAGGGGGTGGACGCTGAATGGGGCAGTTGGGGATGGGAGAGGCCAAGGAAGGGGAATGGGAACTCTGAATTACCAAACTGCAAGAGACCAACCACCAAGTTTTGTATCTCAAAGGCTCCCCTGTGCCAATGCTTTGTAGGGGACCCATCCTCACAGTCATCACCCCAATTCCTGTGAAGACCTGAGCCCTGAGGGGCAACCACCTGGTAAAGTGGTGAATAACTAGTGCTCCATTTTCCTTTCAATGGGAATGGACCTGAGAACAAAGAGCCCTTTCCCTCTGGTTAGCCAATGCCACCTTCTCCTCACCACTGGGGGAACTGCAGAGAGCCCCAGCTCCAGTCCCAGCATTGGAGAGCAAAGCCTCCCAGCGGCCAGACCCATTCCTAAGAGAGGACACCACCTTAATGGCCTTTAGGACTCCTTTTCATTAGATTCTTATTGAACGAAATATAGGCTAAAAAATCCCATAGATAGAACTAGAAATAATTTTAAATTTTTAAAAATTAAAATAGAAATATTCAAAGGTGGGCATGACATTCATGAAACAAGGGAGACAGATTAAGAGTTGTCCTGCTCAATTCTAAACTTATCAAATTATACACTTGAAATATGTGCAGCTCTTGGTAGATCAATTATACCTCACTAGAGCTGTAAAAAAATAAAAAAGGAATTGCTCTGCTAAGAGTTATCATAAGTACCTAGGAGAAAAAAAGACTGAAAGGGAATACAGCAAAATACTGATTGAGGTGAGCTTCTGTAAGGGAGGAAGGTAGAAGGATGGTTTCATTTTTGTTCCTTCTACTTTTCAATATTTTCCAAAATTTCTCTAGTAAGCATAGTCTAGTTTTTTTAATAGGAAAAATAAATCTTTCCTATTATAAAGATACAGATTAAAGTGAATTCAAGACACCCACTGGGGAAGAAGAGTGTGTGTTCACACCCTGGAGCTGTTCTAACCATCCAGGTGTTTCTGAGCTGGCAAGGAAGAGCAGTCAGGCTGGATGGCTTCTGATTTCCAAGTCACTGGGCCAGAGAGAGTCTTTTTAGATAAGGTGGTTAGAGAATGTGTATCCGATGTGAGCCTGACTTCCCTTCAGGAAACAGCTGTCTTTGTCTCAGCTTGGACCACAATAACTATAATAATAATGCAAAGCAAGCATTGGAATATGCCCCATTTTACAAATCACTTTCATTTATACTATGTCACTATCTACATGCTGGGTGGGTATTATCATCCCCACTTCATAGATTAGCAAACTGAGGCTACACACTGTGAAGTAACTTGCCAAGTTTTAAGTAGCAGAGCCAGGAAGCAAACCCAGCTGGAACTTCGAGTTCTCTTACTTTTTCCACTACCCCACACCTAGTGCCACTAAATATTTTTAAGCTGTGACTTTGGTGTAAACAACTTTCTTATTGCTTCCAAAGTCCAAGCTGGACCAAGCCACATGGTGCTCCCAGGATCTCACCACACGACAACATTAATTACTTGTGTGCTTTTCAGCAAGTTATTCAACCTTTCTGGGTCTGTTTCCTTGCCCATAAAATGAGGCAAATAATACTTGCACTTCATGGGCTATTGTGAATAACTAATAAATTAGCACAGATGGAAGGACTTTGAAAAGAGTCTAAAGTAGTGTGTGCAGGAGGCGCTGCCATGAAAATGGACCTGGAAAGGCTGACCTCTGAGGAAAGCCCAAAGCTCCCAGGAGACCCCTGGCCTCTACTATCTCAAAGGCCCTCGTGGGGGCCAGAGACAGAAAGTGGGGCTGAAGTTTAGGCTGTGTCTTTAGGTAACTCAAAGGTTAATAAAATAACAAGTTATATATATATATATATATTATATATATATATATAATATATATACACACACACACACACACACACACACACACACACACATCTTTGGAGAGATACACAAGAAACTGGGGCACCTCAGTTGCCTCCAGGCAGGGGAACCAGGTGGCAGGTGGCAGGAGTGTAAGGGAGATTTGCACTATGTTCATTTTTGTACCTTTTGATTTTTGAACCATGTGAATATATTACCTAGTCCAAAAAATAAATAATTTTTTAAAAGCCAACGGAAAAATCCCAAGCCAGTTCCCCTTTGGAGGAGTGGATCTGCCTCTACTGTCACAGAGAGAGCAGTATATTTCCAATTCTATATTTAAAAGACTCTTTCTAAGGCTGAAAGGCTTCTTTATAAGAAAATCAAATATTGTCATTCAACAAAAAAGGAAGAAGGAGGAAGAAGAGGAGGACAGGGAGGAGGAAGAGAAGGAAGGAAAGCAAACTAGTCTTCTAGACCAAGCAGGCTTTGACATCTCTAAACTCGTACACAGAAATTTCCAACAGCTCCTCCTCCCCTGCCTTTGCCAAGAACAAGACCCCAGACCTCCTGCTCAGTGCTGGGCCCCAAGCTGACCAGCAGAGTCTTGGCATGAATGCAGCATAGGCACTTCGGCCTCAGACTCCCTCCCTGTCACTGACTAGCTATGTGATGTTGGCCAAGTAAGTCACTCTCTCTGAGCCTTAGTCTCATCTATCAAATGGGGATAATACCTATACCTACCTCATAGAATACTTTCAAGGGGTCAAAGAGATAATGAAGGAAGGCACATATTAGATATCAGTATTAGACACTGTTCCTGTGGTAAATGTGAACCCAGTCTGGGCAGGCTTCAGGAACTAGAGAACTGGTATGCAAATTCGTGTGACAGTGCATATGTACATTTTTCTGGGCCAAGGAGCCAGAGCTATTATCAGATTCTCAACACTCAAAGGAGTTTTCATAATCCCCAAAAGGATGAGATCTACAGATGTAGAGGTAAAGACCGACATAAATGGAGCCTGCTAAGACAGGGCCCTTCACTTTAGGGTCTCTGTATATAAAAGTTCTTCTGCCTGGAATGCCCAGATCTTCCTCAGACTGGCTCCTTTTCATTCAGTTCTCAGCTGCAGTGTCAATACCTCAGTAAAATACCCTGGCCATCCCATTCAAAAGTAGCTACCCTGCCCTCTGAATTCCAAAATATCACTTATTTATATACCATTTAGCATTATTTTACTCATGTTTATTGATTCCTACACACACACACACACACACACACACACACACACACACACACTCACTGGGAGTGTGGGAGCTTTGGCAGTTGGATTGCTGTATCCCTAATGCCTGCCTGGTATGGTACCTGGCACCTGTAATTCTTAATACATACCTATAGAATGGTGGAACTATATGTACTAAGACAAAGCAATGGCATTATGCGACACACAAGAGGGACAGGCCATCTAGACTGGAGCAATCATGAAGGCTACAAGGAGGCAATGACACCCAAGGTGATCTTGTGCCAGGTAGCAATGGCAGGCATTCCAGGCAAAGGTACATGAAATTTAGGGAAGTGACAAGCAGTTCAGTGTTGCTGGAGCACAGAATACTAGATAATATTCAAGCAAACCAACTGTAAAAAGATATTTTAAGACAATAAGGGAAATTTGGATAATGAATAGGTGATGTTAAGAAATTATTGAAATAGGTCAGTGGTTCTCAATCTTGGCTGCACATTAGAATCACCTGGGAATCTTTTTAAAAACCTGATTTCTGGGCCTCATCCTCCAGAAATTCTGTTTCTTTTTTATGGGGTGGGGCCACAACATTAGTAACAAAGAAACAGAATTTCCGGAGGATGAGGCCCAGAAATCAGGATTTTAAAAAAGATTCCCAGGTGATTCTAATGTGCAGCCAAGGTTGAGAACCACTGAAATAGGTGAAGGGATTAAGAAAAAAAACTAATAGACACAAACAACAGCATGGTGATTACCAGGGGAGTGGGGGGGAGTAGGAAAGGGTAAAAGGGGGATAAATGGTGATGAAAGGAGACTGGGCCTTGGGCAGTGAATATACAATACAATATACAGAGGATGTATTGAAACCTATATAATTTTATTAACCAATGTCATCCCCAATAAATTCAATTAAAATATTTTTAAAAT